GGGGTTTCGTGATTTAGATTAAGGATTGAGATTGGGGATTGGGAAATTGGGATTGGGGATTTTGGGGTTTGGGATTTGGGAATTTGGGATTGGGAATTTGAGATTTGGGGTTTGGGGTTTATCCGGGGGAGGGGACAGGACCCGGCCGGGGGCGGGCGTGGGGAGGGGTCTGGGGCTGGGGATTTGGGATTTCGGGATTTTGGGATTTGGGATTTTGGGATTTTGGTGTTTTGGGTTTGGGATTTGGGATTTTGGAATCTGGGATTTGGGGTTTGGGGTTTGGGGTTTATCCCGGGGGAGGGGACGGGACCTGAACGGGGGCGGGCGTGGGGAGGGGTCTGGGGGTTGGGAATTTGGGATTTGGGGAATTTGGGAATTTGGGATTTTGGGGTTTTGGGATTTGCGGTTTTGGGATTTGCGGTTTGGGGATTTGGGGTTTTGGGATGTGGAGTTTTGGGGTTTGGGATTTATCCCGGGGGAGGGACGGGGCCTGAACGGGGGCGGGCTGGGAATGGGGAGGGGTTTGGGGGTTGGCGATTTGGGGATTTCGGAATTTGGATTTAGGACTGAGATTGCGGATTGGAAATTGGGATTGGGGATTTTGGGGTTTGGGGACTGGGATTGAGATTGGGATTTGGGATTGGGGTTTGGGGAATTGGGATTGGGGGTTTGGGGTTTGGGGTTTATCCCGGGCGAGGGGACGGGACCCGGCCGGGGGCGGGCGTGGGGAGGGGTCTGGGTTTTGGATTTTGGGATTTCGGGATTTGGGATGGAGGATTTTGGGATTGCAGAGTTTTGGTTGGGATTGCGGATTTGGATGGAGGATTTGGATTGGGGTTTGGGGAATTGGGGGATTTGGGATTTTGGGATTTGGGAATTTGGGATTGAAGAGTTGGGAATTTGGGATTTATCCCGGGAGAGGGAAGGGGCCTGGCTGAGGGGCGGGCGTGGGGAGGGGTTTGGCTTTTGGGATTTCGGAAATTTGGGATTTCGGGATTTGGGATGGAGGATTTTGGGATTGCAGAATTTGGTTGGGATTGCGGATTTGGATGGAGGATTTGGGATTGGGGTTTGGGAATTGGGGGATTTGGGATTTGGGAATTTGGGATTTGGGATGGAGGATTTGGGGATTGGAGAGTTGGGATTGGGATTGGGGATTTGGGATTGGGAGTTTTGGGGTTTGGGGTTTATCCCAGGGGAGGGGACGGGACTTGAACGGGGGCGGGGTCTGGGATCAGGGATTTTGGGATTTTGGGATTTCGGGATTTAGGATTTGGGGATTTCAGGATTTTGGGATTTGGATTGGGGGTTGGGGATTGAGGATTGGGGATTTGGGATTGGGGATTGTGGAATGGATTTGGGGATTTGGGGTTTGGGATTTATCCCGGGGGAGGGGATGGGACCTGGGCAGGGACGGGCGTGGGGAGGGGTCTGGGGTTGTGGGAATTTGGGATTTTGGGATTTGGGATTGAGATTGGGGTTTGGGAATTTGAGATTGGGATTTGGATGGAGGATTTGGGATTTTGGGATTATGGGATTTCGGGATTTCGGGATTTGGGATTATTGGGACTGGGGATTTGAAGTTTGGGGTTGGGGTTTGGGATTTTGGGATTTCAGGGATTTAGGATTTGGATTTGGGATCTGGATTTAGGATTGAGATTGGGGATTGGGGTTTGGGACTGAGATTTGGGATTTTGGGACTTCGGATTGGGGGTTTGGGGTTTGGGTTTTGGGGTTTGTTATTTGGGGTTTGGGATTTTGGTTTGGGGGATTTAGGATTGAGATTGGGGATTGGGGTTCAGGGTTTGGGATTGGGGTTTGGCATTTGGGATTGGGGATTTTGGGAATTTGGGGTTTGGGATTTATGCCGGGGGAGGGGAAAGGACCTGAGCGGGGAGGGGGATGGGGAGGGGTCTGGGGGTTGGGATTTTGGGAATTTGGGATTTTGGGATTTTGGGATTTGGGATGGAAGATTTTGGGATTGGAGAGTTGGGATTGGGATTGGGGATTTGGATGGAGGATTTGGGGTTTGGGATTTTAGGATTTGGGATTTTGGGATTTAGGATTGAGATTGGGGGTTGGAGTTCAGGGTTTGGGATTGGGATTTGGGGTTTGGGATTTGGGATTTTGGGATTTGGGATTTTGGGAATTTGGTAATTTGGGATTGGGATTTGGGGTTTGGGATTGAGATTTGGGTTTGGGATTTGGGGTTTGGGATTGGAAATTGAGATTTGGGATTCCGAGATTTGGGGTTTGGGATTTGGGATTTTGGGATTGGGGACTGAGATTTGGGATTGGGGATTGGGGTTTGGGATTTTGGGATTTTGGGTTTGGGGTTGGGATTTGTGATTTGGGTTTGGGATTTGGGGTTTATCCCAGGGGAGGGGACGGGACCTGGGCAGGGGCGGGCGTGGGAGGCGTTTGGATTTGGGGTTTGGGGATTTTGGGGTTTGGGATTTTGGGATTTTGGGACTGGGATTGGGGTTTTGGGATTGGGGAATAGGGATGTGGATTTGGGGTTTTGGGGTTTTGTGATGGAGGGTTTGGGGTTTGGGGTTTGGGGTTTATGGGGTTTGGGGTTTGGGGTTTATCCCGGGGAGGGGAAGGGACCTGGGCAGGGGTGGGGGATGGGGAGGGGTTTGGGGGTTGGGATTTTGGGAATTTGGGATTTTGGGAATTTGGGATTTTGGGATTTGGATTTAGGATTGAGTTTGGGGATTGCGGAATTGGGATTGGGGACTTTGGGATTTTGGGATTTGGGGTTTTGGGTATTTGGGAGTTTGGGGTGGGGTTTGGGGATTCAGGATTTGAAATTTAGGATTCACGGGATTGGATTTGGGGTTTAGGGTTTGGGATTGGGATTACAGAGTTGGGATTGGGGTTTGGGATTTTGGGATGGGGGATTTGGGGTTTGGGATTTAGGACTGGGGATTTGTGATAAGGGGTGGGGTTGGGACTGTGGATTCGGGGCTTTGGGATTTGGGAATGGGATCCATGGGATGGGATTTGGATTTGGGGTTGGGGATGTGCTCCAGGGGAGGGGAAGGAAACTGGGGAGGGATTTGGGGTTTGGGATGTGGGGTTTGGGATTTGGGATTTGGGGTTTGGGATTTGGGGTTTGGGATGTGGGGTTTGGATTTGGGATTTGGGATTTGGGATTGCGCTTTTGGTATTTGAAATTTGGATCGATGGGATTGGATTTGGGATTAGGGCTCCACACCTGGACATGCCCCCAATTAGCCCCGCCCACCCACAGCCACACCCAATACCCATCCCAGCCCTAATTACCATAATTAGCCCCGCCCATCCATAACCACACCCAGTATCCATCCCTAATTACCCTAATTACCCTAATTAGCCCCGCCCACATCAATCTGCACTCAGTATCCCATCCCCAGCCCTAATTACCCTAGTTAGCTCCGCCCACATCAATCTATACCCAATGCCCCCTCCCCAGCCCTAATTACCCTGATTAGCCCCGCCCACTTCATTACCCAGCCAATCCCCAGCCTTATTTACCCTAATTAGCCCCGCCCACATCAAGCCACGCCCATCCCGGCGCTCTCACCGCCCTTAGCCCCGCCCACCGCGGCGGGATCCCCATATATGGCCAGTTAGCCCCGCCCAACAGAGTCCCCCGCCAATCAGCGCGCTGGGCCCCGCCCCCGGCCCCGCGCGCGCTCCGGGCTCGCGGCTGCTGCCGGAAGTGGCGGTACCGGGGGGGGGGACACGGGGACAGAGGGGGGACAGGGGGACATTGGGGGGGCTTGGGGACAATGGCGGGACATTGGGGACAATGGGGGGGTTTAGGGACACTCGGGGGTCTTGGGGACATTGGGGGGGCTTGGGGACATTGGGGGGTTTGGGGACACTCGGGGGTCTTGGGGACAGCGGGACAGAGGAGGGGACGGGGGGTGCTTGGGGACAGCGGGACAGGGGAGGGACATTGGGGGGAATTGGGGACATCGGGACGGGGGGACACCAGGACAGGGGGGATTGGGGACATCTGGGGGGGCTTGGGGACATCTGGGGGGGCTTGGGACACCGGGATGGGGGGGACACCAAGACAGGGGGGATTGGGGACATTGGGGGGGCTTGGGGACACCGGGAGCCATCGGGATAGGGGAGGGACGTGGGGACAGCGGGACAGGGGAGGGGACAGGAGGGGACACCGGCACACCGGGTGGGACATTGGGGGTGCTTGGGGACACCGGGACAGCAGGACAGGGGAGGGGACAGGGGGACAGGAGGGGACACCGGCACACCGGGGGGACACTGGGGGTGCTTGGGGACATTGGAGGGGTTGGGGACATCTGGGGGGGGATCTTGGGGACACTCGGGGGGGGGGGGGGATTGGGGACAGGGGAGGGGACATGGGGACGCCGGGACAGGGGTGACAGGAGAGGGGACAGAGGGACAGAGGGGGACTGAGGGTACCTGGGGGGTGCTTGGGGACACTGGGGGGGGTTTGGGGACACCGGGACAGGGGAGGGGACAGGGGGACACCTGGGAGGGTTGGGGACATCAGAGGGGGATTTGGGGACAGTAGAGGGGGGTTTGGGGACATTGGGGGACATGGGGGCAGCGGAGACACCGGTACTGGGTGGGGACATGGGGACACGGGGGGGAGCTTGGGGACACCGGGACAGGGGGACACCGAGGGGGCTTGGGGACATCTAGGGGGGGACACGGGGACACCGAAGAGGTTTGGGGACACCAAGGGGGGGCTTGGGGACATCTGGGGGGGTTTGGGGACATTGGGGGGGGTTGGGGACACCAAGGGGGTTTGGGGACATTGGGGACACCTTGGGGACACTGGGTGGGCTTGGGGACATTGGGGACACCTTGGGGACACTGGGAGGGGACACTGGGTGGGCTTGGGGACATTGGGGACACCTTGGGGACACCTTGGGGCCAGGGGAGGTGGCAGCGGGGGAGGGGACGCCGTGCCCTCAGTGTCCCCCGTTGTCCCCGCAGGTCCCCGAGGTGTCCCCGGCGCCATGGGGGACGCCGGGGTGGCCGTGGTGTCACACGCCGGGGTGGCCGTGGTGTCACACGCCCTGCTCTGCGTCACCAGCCTGGGCTGCGCCATCGCCGCCAGACAGGTTGGGGACATTGGGGACACCCTGGGGACATTGGGGACACATTGGAGACATTGGGGACACCCTGGGGACATTGGGGACATTGGGGACACCTTGCGGATGTTGGGGACACTGGGGACATTGGGGACACCATGGGGACACCTTGGGGACATTGGGGACATTGGGGACACCTTGGGGACATTGGGGACATTGGGGATACCCTGGGGACATTAGGGACACCTTGGGGACATTGGGGACACCTTGGGGACATTGGGGACATCCTGGGGACATTGGGGACACATTGGGGGTGTCGGGGACATTAGGGACACCTTGGGGACATTGGGGACACATTGGGGACATTGGGGACACCTCGGGGATACCCTGACGACACCCTGGGGACATTGGGGACACTCTGGCGAAATTGGGGACATTGGGGACACATTGGGGACACTGGGGACACCCTGGGGACATTGGGGACACCCTGAGGACACCAGGGACAGGGAGGAGTGGGGACAGCAGGAACAGGGGGGGACAGTGTCACCTGTGTCACCTGTGCCATGTCACCTTTGCCACCCATGACCCCGGGCCCCACAACGTCCCCATGACATCCCCACGATGTCCCCATGATGTCCCCATGATGTCCCCATGATGTCCCCATGACATCCCCATGATGTCCCCATGATGTCCCCACGATGTCCCCATGATGTCCCCATGACGTCCCCATGACATCCCCATGATGTCCCCATGATGTCCCCACAATGTCCCCATGACGTCCCCATGATGTCCCCATGACGTCCCTATAATGTCCCCATAATGTCCCCAACGATGTCCCCATGATGTCCCCATGACATCCCCATGATGTCCCTATGTCCCCAACGATGTCCCCACGATGTCCCTGCCATGTCTCCCCCTGATGTCCCCACCGTGTTCCCATGATGTCCCCATGATGTCCCCATGACATCCCCATGATGTCCCCATGATGTCCCCATGACGTCCCCATGATGTCCCCATGATGTCCCCGTAATATCCCTATGATGTCCCCATGATGTCCCCATAATGTCCCCAATGATGTCCCCATGACATCCCCATAATGTCCCCATGATGTCCCCATGATGTCCCCATGATGTCCCCGTAATGTCCCCATGACATCCCCATGATGTCCCCGTAATATCCCTATGATGTCCCCATGATGTCCCCATGATGTCCCCAACGATGTCCCCACGATGTCCCTGCCATGTCTCCCCCTGATGTCCCCACCGTGTTCCCATGATGTCCCCATGATGTCCCTACAATGTCCCCTTGATGTCTCCGCCACGTCCCCCCAATGTCCCCGTGATGTCCCCACGGGTGACAGATGGCCTGGCCACCACCCCTGTCCCCACAACGTCCCCTGATGTCCCCCTGATGTCCTCACAATGTCCCCACCATGTCGTATGGTGTCCCACATTGTCCCCATGGTGTCCCCATCCCTGTCCCCACCACGTCCCAACGATGTCCCCCAATGTCCCTACAATGTCCCCATGACATCCCCACAATGTCCCCTCAATGTCCCTGTGATGTCCCCTCAGTGTCCCCACAGGTGACAGGCCCGGCCACCGCCCCATCCCCATGATGTCCCCACAATGTCCCTGTGATGTCCCCACGATGTCCCCACAATGTCCCCACGATGTCCCCTTTACATCCCCACAATGTCACCTCAATGTCCCCACAATGTCCCCACAGGTGACAGCTGTCCTGGCCACCACCCCTGTCCCCGTGATGTCCCCACCATGTCCCCACGATGTCCCCACCATGTCCCCACAATGTCCCCATGTCCCCACAATGTCCCCAGCGTATCCCCACAATGTCCCCCTGATGTCCCCACAATGATCCCACTGCTGTCCCCGTGATGTCCCCATCGTGTCCCCACGATGTCCCCACAATGCCCCACAATGTGCCCGCCATGTCCCCATGACATCCCTACAATGTCCCCACGATGTCCCCACCATGTCCCCACGATGTCCCCATGTCCCCACAATGTCCCCAGCGTATCCCCACAATGTCCCCCTGATGTCCCCACAATGATCCCACTGCTGTCCCCGTGATGTCCCCATCGTGTCCCCACGATGTCCCCACAATGCCCCACAATGTGCCCGCCATGTCCCCATGACATCCCTACGATGTCCCCATGATGTCCCCACCGTGTCCCCACAATGTCCCCACGATGTCCCACAATGTGCCCGCCATGTCCCCATGACATCCCTACAATGTCCCCACGATGTCCCCACCGTGTCCCCACAATGTCCCCACAATGTGCCCGCCATGTCCCCATGACATCCCTACAATGTCCCCACCGTGTCCCCATCCCTGTCCCCACGATGTCCCCACAATATCCCACAATGTGCCCGCCATGTCCCCATGACATCACTACAATGTCCCCACGATATCCCCATCGTGTCCCCACCGTGTCCCCACAATGCCCCACAATGTGCCCGCCATGTCCCCATGACATCCCTACGATGTCCCCATGATGTCCCCACCGTGTCCCCACAATGTCCCCACGATGTCCCACAATGTGCCCGCCATGTCCCCATGACATCCCTACAATGTCCCCACGATGTCCCCACCGTGTCCCCACAATGTCCCCACAATGTGCCCGCAATGTCCCCATGACATCCCTACAATGTCCCCACGATGTCCCCACCGTGTCCCCACAATGTCCCCACAATGTGCCCGCAATGTCCCCATGACATCCCTACAATGTCCCCACGATGTCCCCACCGTGTCCCCACAATGTCCCCACAATGTGCCCGCCATGTCCCCATGACATCCCTACAATGTCCCCATGATGTCCCCACCGTGTCCCCATCCCTGTCCCCACAATGTCCCACAATGTGCCCGCCATGTCCCCATGACATCCCTACAATGTCCCCACGATGTCCCCACCGTGTCCCACAATGTGCCCGCCATGTCCCCATGACATCCCTCCAATGTCCCCACGATGTCCCCACCGTGTCCCCACGATGTCCCACAATGTCCCACAATGTGCCCGCCATGTCCCCATGACATCCCTCCAATGTCCCCACGATGTCCCCACGATGTCCCCATCCCTGTCCCCACAATGTCCCACAATGTGCCCGCCATGTCCCCATGACATCCCTACAATGTCCCCATGATGTCCCCACCGTGTCCCCATCCCTGTCCCCACAATGTCCCACAATGTGCCCGCCATGTCCCCATGACATCCCTACAATGTCCCCGTGATGTCCCCACCGTGTCCCACAATGTGCCTGCCATGTCCCCATGACATCCCTACAATGTCCCCATGATGTCCCCACCGTGTCCCCACGATGTCCCCACCGTGTCCCACAATGTGCCCAGAGCTGACAGGCGCAGCCACCGCCTCATCCCCACGATGTCCCCACAATGTCCTCCTGATGTCCCATTGATGTCCCCAGAGGTGACAGCTGACCTGCCCTGTCCCCATAACGTCTCACAATGTCCCCACAATGTCCCCATGGTGTCCCCACCGTGTCCCTATATGTCCCTACAATGTCCCCCATGGCATCTCCATGACATCCCCTCAGTGTCTCCCTGATGTCCCCACCCCTGTCCCCACAGGTGACAGCTGGCCCGGCCACCCCTGTCCCCCTGATGTCCCATAATGTCTCCATGATGTGCCCACCGTGTCCCCACGATGTCCCCGTGGTGTCCCTGTGACATCCCCACAGTGTCCCCTGATGTCCCTCTGCTGTCCCCATGGCATCCCCACAACGTCCCCCAGATGTCCCCTGATGTCCCCTCTGTCCCTACAGGTGACTGGGCCCGGCCACACCCGTCCCCATAATGTCCCCCCTGTGATGTCCCCACGATGTCCCCCTGACTGTCCCCACAATGTCCCCATGATGTCCTCACCCCTGCCCCCACAATGTCCCCACAGGCCTGGCCACCCCTGTCCCCACCGTGTCCCCACCGTGTCACCATGACATCCCCATGCTGTCCCCACAATGTCCCCACAGGTGGCAGTTGGCCTGGCCGCCACCCCTGTCCCCATAATGTCCCTTTGATGTCCCCACAATGTCCCCACCATGTCCTCATGACATCCCCACCATGACATTCCCACAATGTCCCCCCTATGTCCCCTCAATGTCCCTATAATGTCCCCATGGTGTCCCCACAATGTCCCCACCGTGTCCCCATGACATCCCCACAATGTCCCCCTTGCTGTCCCCTGATGTCCCCATCGTGTCCCCACCCCTGTCCCCACCATGTCCCTGCGATGTCCCCACAATGTCCGCATGACATCCTCATGATGTCCTTTCAATGTCCCCTCAATGTCCCCTGATGTCCCCTCAATGTCCCCGCAGGTGACCCCAGGCCCGGCCGCCGGTTTCCTCCTGCAGGCCCTGGTGGCCGCCAGCACCGCGATGTCCCCTCTGTGTCCCCTCGATGTCCCCAACGCGCCACCGCCGCCGTCCCCTCAATGTCCCCACGATGTCCCCAAGGCGCCACCACCACCGCCGTCCCCTCAATGTCCCCACGATGTCCCCAAAGCACCACCGCCGCCGTCCTCTCCGCGTCCCCACGATGTCCCCAAAGCGCCACCACCACCGCCGTCCCCTCAATGTCCCCACGATGTCCCCAAAGCACCACCGCTGCCGTCCTCTCCGCGTCCCCACGATGTCCCCAAGGCGCCACCACCACCGCCGTCCCCTCAATGTCCCCACGATGTCCCCAAAGTGCCACCACCACCGCCGTCCTCTCTGCGTCCCCACGATGTCCCCAAGGCGCCACCACCGCCGTCCCCTCAATGTCCCCACGATGTCCCCAAGGCGCCCCCGGGCTCCTGGATCTGCTCGGTGCTGTCCCAGCCCTTGGTGGCCTTCGGGTGCCACCGCCTGAGCGGTGACGGCGCCAGCGCCGGGGTCCTGCTGGCCTCGGGGACCGCGGTGGCCGCGCTGGCCGCGGCGTGGCCGCGCTTCGTCGCCGAGGGCCACTTTGTCCCCGCGGGTCACTTTGTCACCGCGCTGACGGCGGCGTCGCTGCTGGCGCTGGCGGCGCTCACCGGGAGCGTCACCGGGGCGGCGGCGGCGGCGCTGGTGGCACTCGGGGACGCGGTGGCACCGGGCGCTGTCCCCTGGGTCAGGGTGGCGGCCAGCGCGGCGCTGCTGGGGACGCTGCGGGAGCAGCGCAGGGGACACTGGGGACACCAATAAAGGCAACGTGGCACCAAGGTGGTGGCTCTGTGGTGGCTTTGGGTGGCAGTGGGGTGGCACTGGGGTGGTGGCTCTGCTGGTGGTGTTGGTGGCACTGGGGTGGTGGCATTGGCAGGTGGCTTTGGGTGACACTGGGGTGGTGGTGGCACTGTGGGGACACCATTAAAGGGACGATGACAAGCATCTGATGGCTCTGTGGTGGCTTTGGGTGACACTGAGGTGGTTGCACTGGGGTGGTGGCACTGAGATGACAGTGGTGGTGGCACTGTGATGGCACTGGAGTGGCACTGGGGTGACAGTGCTGGTGGCACCATTGGTGGCACTGGGCAGAGCTCTGTCCCAGCACCCTGAGGTGCCACTGAGGTGACACTGGTGACACTGGTGGCTCTGGTGACAGTGGTGGTGGCGCTGGGGTGACACACGGGTGACAGTGCTAGTGGCACTGCTGGTGGCTCTGGGCAGGGCACCCTGAGGTGGCACTTTGGGGTCCCTGCGGGGACAATTGGGTGGAGGGGGCGGGGCAAGCCCAGACTGGTCCTTACTGGTCCATACTGGTCCGTACCCCTGCGCACTTGGCCACGCCCCATCCACAGGCCACGCCCCTCACAGACCACGCCCCTTGCCCATTGCAGGCAATACCTGGGCGGGGCCCTCCCAAGGGAACGGTCATGTCACGCCTGGCCCCGCCCCCCCGCTTGACACACGCCCATTTTCCCTGTTGACCACGCTCCCTTCACCGCCGCCTGCCCGGCGGCACAGCCACGCCCACAAAAGCAACGCCCATTTCTGCCCCCGCCCCACCTATGCCTCGGCTGCCGGTGCGCGCATGCGCGGGTTCGGCGGCGCGGCGGGCTTTGCGCATGCGCAAATTGCTTTCGCATTTTCCCGCGCTGCCGCTCCATTCCCGTTATCTTTCCCGTTATCTTTTCCCGTTATTATCTATCGTTCCCGTTATCCCGCCCTGCCCAGGAGCGGGATCCCCTCCCTCGGGAGCTGCGCGGGGCCGCGGCAAAGCGGAAGCGCGGCGGGCGGGGGCGTGGCCGTCCCTGTGACCCGCGCCCACGTGTTCGGCGGCGCACGCGGAGCCGCCACCATGGAGCAGGTCCGGGGGTGACCGGGGAGGGGGAACGGGGGGACCCGCGGGGTTGTCATGGCAACGGGGAAGGAGGGGACACACTTGGCATTGACATGGCAACGGGGAGGGGCTGGCCGTGTCCCGGTGAGGGGATAACGGGAAATGAAGGGGATCCGGCCTGGTGTCCGTGAGAGAGAACTCAACAGTGACGGGGGGTCTGGTCTTGTCCTGAGGGGGGACCTGGCAATTTGGGGAGGGTCTGGCCTGGTTTTGGTGAGGGGAAACCGGCAATTTGGGGAGGGCTTGGTTTGGTTTCGGTGAGGGGGGAACCGGCAATTTGAGGAGGGTCTGGTTTGGTTTCGGTGAGGGGGGACCCGGCAATTTGAGGAGGGTCTGGTTTGCTCCTGAGGGGGAACCCGGCAGTTTGGGGAGGATCTGGCTTGGTCTTAGTGAGGGGTGACCCGGCAATTTGGGCAGGGTCTGGTCTGGTTTCGGTGAGGGGGAACCGGCAATTTTTGGAGGGTCAGGCCTGGTCCTGATGGGGGACCCGGCAATTTGGGGAGGGTCTGGTTTGGTTTCGGTGAGGAGGAACCCATCAATTTGGGGAGGGTCTGGTTTGGTCCTGAGGGGGGACCCGGCAATTTGGGGAGGGTCTGGTGTGGTCCTGAGGGGAGACCCAGCAATTTGGGGAGGGTCTGGTCTGGTTTTGGTGTGGGGGGAATCGGCAATCTCAGGAGGGTCTGGTTTGGTCCTCGGGGGGGACCCAGGAATGGAGGGGTCCAGGAGTAGTGGGGTTCAGCCTGGTTTCTGTGAGGGGGAACCTGGCAGTGATGGGGATTTGGTCTCTTGTGGAGGAACCCGACAATTTGAGGAGGGTCTGGCTTGGTCTGTGTGAGGGGGAACCTGGGAATGGAGGGGTCCAGGAATGGCGGGGTTCAGCCTGGTCTCTGTGAGGGGAACCCGGTAGTCAGGGGGCATCTGCTCTGGTCCTGAGGGGGAACCCGGTCCTATCCTGGTGAGGGAGGACCCCATAATTGTGGGGTTTTGGCTGGGTCTCCATGAGGGAGTTTAGCCTTGTCCTGAAGGGGACCTGGCAATTTGAAGGGGTTTGGGCTCCTGAGGATGATACCTGGCCTTGTCTTAGTGAGAGGGGACTGGGAAATGGGGGGCGCTTCAGCCTGGTTCCCGTGAGGGGGAACCCGGCAGTGATGGGGATTTGGTCTCTTGTGGGGAAACCTGATAATTTGTGGAGGGTCTGGCCTGGTTTGGGTGAGGGGGAACCCGGGAATGGCGGGGTTCATTCTGGTCTCTGTGAGGAGAACCCGGGAATGGCGGGGTCCATTCTGGTCTCTGTGAGGGGAACCCGGGAATGGTGGGGTCCAGCCTGGTCCCCGTGAGGGGAAACCCCAATAGTTAGGGGAGTCTGGCCTTGTCCTGAAGGGGGAACCCGGTCCTATCCTGGTGAGCGGGGACCAGAAAATGGGGAGAGGAGTTCTGCCCTGGTGTCCGTGAGGGGGAAACTTGCAGTGAGAGGGGTCTGGTCTGGTCCTGAGGGGCAACCCGGCAATTTGGGGAGGATCTGGCTTGGTATTAGTGAAGGGGGACCCAGGAATGGAGGAATGGAGGAGTCCGGGAATGGCGGGATCCAATCTGGTCCCCGTGAGGGGAAACCCAGCAGTGAGGGGGATTTGGTCTTGTCCTGAGGGAGGAACCCGGTCCTATCCTCGTGAGGGGGCACCCCATAACTGGGGGGCTCCGGCCTGGTCCCCATGAGGGGGAACCCGGCAGTGAGGGACATTTGGTCTGTTGTGGGGGAACCTGATAATTTGGGGAGGGTTTGGTCTGGATGAGGGGGAACCCGGGAATGGTGGGGTCTGGGAATGGCGGTGTCCAGCTTGGTCTCCGTGAGGGGAAACCCAACACTGAGGAGGGGTCAGGCCTTGTCCTGAGGGGGAACCAGGCAGTGATGGGGATTTGGTCTCTTGTGGGGGAACCTGATGATTTGGGGAGGGTCTGGCCTGGTCTGGGTGAGGGGGAACCCGGGAATGGCGGGGTCCAACCTGGTCTCTGTGAGGGGAAACCCAGCAGTGAGGGGGATTTGGCCTTGTCCTGAGGGAGGAACCCGGTCCTATCCTGGTGAGGGGGCACCCCATAACTGGGGGGTTTTGGCCTGGTTCCCATGAGGGGGTCTGGCCTTGAAGGGGGGACCCAGCAGTTTGAGGGTGTTTGGGCTCCTGAGGGTGGTACCTGGCCCTGTCTGGGTGAGGGAGAACCAGGAATTGGGGGGCTCCAACCTGGTCTGAGATTTGGGGACTGAGCATTTGGAGTGGTCCAGTGTGGTCTGAAGGGAGGACCCAGCAAATGGGGGAGGGGTCTGGCCTGGTCTGGGGGGTGGACTGAGAATCTGGGGGGGGTCTGGCTTTGTCCTGAGTATGGAACCAGCATTTGAGGGGGGTCTGGTCTGGTTCAGACCCAGCATTTGGGGGGGTCCTGACCCAGCATTTCGGGGGGGGGGGGTCTGGTCTGGTCCTGACCCAGCATTTGGGGGGTCCAGCCTGGTCCTGACCCAGCATTTGAGGGGGGTCTGGTCTGGTTCAGACCCAGCATTTGGGGGGGTCCTGACCCAGCATTTCGGGGGGGGGTCTGGTCTGGTCCTGACCCAGCATTTGGGGGGGGTCTGGTCCTGACCCAGCATTTGGGGGGGTCCTGACCCAGTATTTTGGGGGGGTCCAGCCTGGTTCTGAGGGGGTACCCAATAACATGGGAGGGGTCTGACCCAGTCCTGAGGGTGACACAGGAATTTGGGGGGTCTCATTCTGTCCTGACCCCACAACTGGTGGGGTCCAGCCTGGTTCTGAGGGAGGTACCCAAAAACCGTGTGGGGCTCCAGCAGTGTGGGGGTGTCTCTATCAGAGCCCCACCATGCTCGGGGGTCCCCTGTGTCCCCATTGTGTCCCCGTTGTGACCCTGCCCTGCTGTCCCTTGCAGCCCAGCCCCTCTGGAGGCAGCGAGGAGCTCTCAGAGAGTGAGGAGAGTGTTTATTCCGGCCTGGAGGATTCGGGAAGCGACAACGAATCCTCTGGGAATGATGAGGAGGAGCAGGAGGAGGACGAGGATGAGGATGAGGAAGAAGCCCCCGGGAGCCCCTCAGCTCTCCAGACACAGGTAAGGGCTTGACTGTGATCCTGCCCTGGATTTGGGGGGCTCCAATCCCATTCCTGAACATTCCTGGGGTGCTCTGCTTCCCAAAATCCAGGAATGGATTGGCCCTGAGCCACTTTTCCAGAAGTTGGAATAATTAATGTGAGGATTAGTAATAATAATAATAATAATAATTAGGATTCAGGGATAGGGATGAGTCTGTTCTGGAGAAAATTGTGGGGGAAAGGGAAATTAAACCTCCCAGGGCTTTTTCCAGGGGATTTCTGGGAGAGCTGCAGAGGGGTTTGGGATGGGAAACAGGGAATGGCTTCCCATGGAATATTGGGATTTTGGGATGGAATTCCCAGAGAATCTGGGGCTGCTCCAGCCCTGGAATAGCAGGGAATGGGATCATCCCTGAAATCCCCTCCATTCCCACCCCATTCCCAGATTGGCTCCTCCAGGAGGGACTTCCCAGGGAATCCCACCCCAGCCACATTCCCACATTCCCACCCCCTTATCCCAGATTTTTCCCCTCTCATCTCAGCATTCCCAAGGTTTGGGATTGAGGAGAATCCTCCCCATTCCTGGGAGCCCAAACTTCCCAAAATCCCCTTGTTTTGCCCCAATTTCTGGGAAGAAAAGGGAAATTGCAGAGGAGAATTCCAGAGCCTTTTCCAGGGGATTGCTGGGAGAGCTGCAGAGAGGATTGGGATGGGAAACAGGGAATGGCTTCCCATGGAAAATTGGGATTTTGGGGATGGAATTCCCAGAGAATCCGGGGCTGCTGCATCCCTGGAACACCCTGGGGTAGCAGGAGCAGCCCTATGGGAATGGGATCGTCCCAAACCATTCCAGAATTCCAGGATATTCCCATTCCATGTCCTGTCTCCAGCTCAATCCCAGTTTTCACCTTTCCTGCAGCTTCTCCCTTCCCATCCCTCTGTGCCCAGCTGAGTTTTCCAGGGATCTTCCCAGAGCTCCCAAACTTCTCCAGGGTTATTCCCAGAACTCCCAAACTTCCTCAGGGTCATTCCCAGAACTCCCAAACTTCTCCAGGGTTATTCCAGAATTCCCAGACTTCCTCAGGGTTATTCCCAGAACTCCCAAACTTCTCCAGGGTTATTCCAGAGCTCCCAGACTTCTCCAGGGTTATTCCAGAATTCCCAAACTTCCTCAGGGTTATTCCCAGAACTCCCAAACTTCCTCAGGGTTATTCCCAGAGCTCCCAAACTTCTCCAGGGTTATTCCAGAATTCCCAGACTTCTCCAGGGCTGTTCCCACTTTTTTCCAGTGGCAACTCACTTTGAGTTTCCAAATCTTTCCAGGGCTGCTCCCACACCACTCCAGGGCTGTTCCCAGAGCTCCCACTTTGCTCCAGGGTCATTTCCAGAGCTCCCAAACTTCTCCAGGGCTTTCCCAGAATTCCCAAATTTTTCAGAGCTGTTCCCAGAGCTCCCAATTTGCTCCAGGGCTGTTCCCACTTTTCTCCAGTGGGAACTCACTTTGAGTTTCCAAATCTTTCCAGGGCTGCTCCAGCACCACTCCAGGGCTGTTCCCAGAGCTCCCAGATTGCTCCAGAGTCACTTCCAGAGCTCCCAAACCACTCCAGGGCTGTTCCCAGAGCTCCCACTTTGCTCCAGGATCACTTCCAGAGCTCCCAAACCACTCCAGGGCTGTTCCCAGAGCTCCCACTTTGCTCCAGGGTCATTCCCAGAGCTCCCAAACTTCTCCAGGACTGCTCCCAGAGCTCCCATTTTTTCCCAGATCTCCTGCTTTTCTGCAGTGTCAGCTCCCACTTTTCTCCAGGGTCACTTCCCAAGTTTCCAGACCTTTCCAGGGCTGCTCCCAAACCACCCCAGGGATGTTCCCAGAGCTCCCAAATTGATGCAGGGCTGTTCCCAGAGCTCCCAAACTTTTCCAGGCTGTTCTCAAACCACTCCAGGGCTGTTCCCAAAGCTCCCAAACTTTTCCAGAGCTGTTTCCAGAGCTCCCAGATTGCTCCAGGGTCACTTCCAGAATTCCCAAACCACTCCAGGCTGCTCCCAACCACTCCAGGCTGTTCCCAGAGCTCCCACTTTGCTCCAGGGTCATTCCCAGAGCTCCCACCCTGCTCCAGAGATGTTCCCAGATTTCTCCAGGGCTCTCCCACAGCTCCCACTTTTCCCCAGGGTTGTTCCCAAAGCTCCCAAACCACTCAAGGCTCTTCCCAGAATTCTTAAACTTCTCCGGGGCTGTTTCCACTTTTCTCCAGGGTCATTTCCAGAGCTCCCAAACTTCTCCAGGGTTGTTCCCAGAGCTCCCAAACTTTTCCAGGGCTGTTCCCAGATTTCCCAGATTGCTTCAGGGTCACTTCCAGAATTCCCAGACTTCTCCAGAACTGCTCCCAAACCACTCCAGGGCTGTTCCCAGAGCTCCCACTTTGCTCCAGGGTCATTTCCAGAGCTCCCAAACTTCTCCAGGGCTTTCCCAGAATTCCCAAATTTTTCCAGGGCTGTTCCCAGAGCTCCCAATTTGCTCCAGGGCTGTTCCCACTTTTCTCCAGGGTCACTTTGAGTTTCCAAATCTTTCCAGGGCTGTTCCAAAACCCCTCCAGGGCTGTTCCCAGAGCTCCCAGTTTGCTCCAGGATCACTTCCAGAGCTCCCAAACCACTCCAGGGCTGTTCCCAGAGCTCCCACTTTGCTCCAGGGTCATTCCCAGAGCTCCCAAACTTCTCCAGGGCTTTCCCAGAATTCCCAAATTTTTCCAGGGCTGTTCCCGGAGCTCCCAATTTGCTCCAGGGCTGTTCCCACTTTTCTCCAGGGTCACTTTGAGTTTCCAAATCTTTCCAGGGCTGCTCCAGCACCACTCCAGGGCTGTTCCCAGAGCTCCCAGATTGCTCCAGAGTCACTTCCAGAATTCCCAGTCTTCTCCAGGTTGTTCCCAACCACTCCAGGGCTGTTCCCAGAACTCCCAAATTGCTCCAGGGCTCTTCCTTGAGCCCTCACTTTTCTCCAGGGTGCTTCCCAGAGCTCCCAAACTTTTCCAGGGCTGTTCCCAAATTGCTCCAGGGCTGTTCCCAGAGCTCCCAAACTTTTCCAGGGCTGTTCCCAGAGCTCCCAGATTGCTTCAGGGTCACTTCCAGAATTCCCAGTCTTCTCCAGGCTGTTCCCAAACCACTCCAGGGCTGTTCCCAGAGCTCCCAGATTGCTCCAGGGTCATTTCCAGAGCTCCCAAACTTCTCCAGGCTGTTCCCAAATTGCTCCAGTTTATTCCCACAGCTCCCACTTTGCTCCAGGGCTCTTCCCAGATCTCCCAAACCTTTCCAGGGCTGTTCCCAAACTTTTCCAAGGCTGTTCCCAGATCTCCTGCTTTTCCATGGCTCCCACTTTTCTCCAGGGTCACTTCCCGAGTTTCCAGACCTTTCCAGGGCTGCTCCCAAACCACTCCAGGGATGTTCCCAGCGCTCCCAAATTGATGCAGGGCTGTTCCCAGAGCTCCCAGATTGCTCCAGGGTCACTTCCAGAATTCCCAAACCACTCCAGGCTGTTCCCAAACCACTCCAGGGCTGTTCCCAGACCTCCCATTTTCTGCAGGGCCGTTCCCAGAGCTCCAAAACTTTTCCAGAACTGCTCCTACTCCACTCCAGAGCTGTTCCCAGAGCTCCCAAACCTTTCCAGGGCTGTTCCCAAACTTTTCCAGGGCTGTTCCCAGGGCTCCCATTTTTCTCCCAGGCTCTTCCCAGATCTCCTGCTTTTCCACAGCTCCCACTTTTCTCCAGGGTCACTTCCAGAGTTTCCAAACTTCTCCAGGCTGTTCCCAAACCACTCCAGGGGTGTTCCCAGAGCTCCCAGATTGCTCCAGGGTCACTTCCAGAGTTTCCAAACTTCTCCAGGCTGTTCCCAAATTGCTCCAGGGTAATTTCCAAAGCTCCCAGACTTTTCCAGGGCTGTTCCCAAAGCTCCCACTTTTCTCCAGGTCTGTTCCCAGAGCGCTCCAGGGCTGATTGGGCTTTTTGTGGAAAAGCAGGGTTTTTATGGAAAAGACTGGGATGGACTGGGACTGACTGGGAGGAACTGGAACTGGCTGGGATGGACTGGGAGAGACTGGGACACGTTAGGACACAGTGGGACAGACTGGGATGGACTGGGATAGACTGGGATGGACTGGGATAGACTGGGACTGGCTGGGATGGACTGGGAGAGACTGGGACACATTAGGACACAGTGGGACAGACTGGGACAGACTGGGATGGACTGGGATAGACTGGGACTGGCTGGGATGGACTGGGAGAGACTGGGACACATTAGGACACAGTGGGACAGACTGGGATGGACTGGGATGGACTGGGACTGGCTGGGATGGACTGGGAGAGACTGGGACACATTAGGACACAGTGGGACAGACTGGGACAGACTGGGATGGACTGGGATAGACTGGGACTGGCTGGGATGGACTGGGAGAGACTGGGACACATTAGGACACAGTGGGACAGACTGGGATGGACTGGGATGGACTGGGATAGACTGGGACTGGCTGGGATGGACTGGGAGAGACTGGGACACATTAGGACACAGTGGGACAGACTGGGACAGACTGGGATGGACTGGGATAGACTGGGACTGGCTGGGATGGACTGGGAGAGACTGGGACACATTAGGACACAGTGGGACAGACTGGGATGGACTGGGATAGACTGGGACTGGCTGGGATGGACTGGGAGAGACTGGGACACGTTAGGACACAGTGGGACAGACTGGAACAGGCTGGGAAAGACTGGGATGGACTGGGACTGGCTGGGATGGACTGGGATGGACTGGGATGGACTGGAACAGACAGGAGTGAACTGGGACAGGTAGGGATGGACTGGGATGACTGGGAGGCCCTGGGACAGACAGGGATAGACTGGGAGAGACTGGGAGAGATGGGGACAGACTGGGAGGCACTGAGACTGACTGGGAGAGACTGAGAGGTACTGGGCCAGACTGGGACCGGTTGGAACAGACTGGGAGGGACTGGAATGGCCTGGGACCTTGCGGGACAGACTGGGATGGACTGGGACACACTGGGACAGACTGGAATGGACTGGGACAAATAGGGATGGACTGGGCCAGACTGGGACTGACTGAGGCACACTGGGACTGGTTGGAACAGACTGGGAGGGACAGGGACAGACTGGGATGAACTGGGACCAAACTGGGACAGACTGGGAGGGATTAGGACAGACTGGGAGGGACTGGGACAGACTGGGACAGACTGAGAGCAACTGGGAGGGACTGGGACAGACTGGGATGGACTGAGAGCAACTGGGAGGGACTGGGACAGACTGGGATGGACTGGGACCAAACTGGGACAGACTGGGAGGGATTGGGACTGACTAGGGCACACTGGGACAGACTGGGAGGCACTGGGAGGGATTAGGACAGACTGGGAGGGACTGGGACACACTGGGACAGACTGAGAGCAACTGGGAGGGATTGGGACTGACTGGAACAGGCTGGGATGGACTGGGACAGACTGGGAGGGACTGGGACTCACTGGGACAGGCTGGGAGAAACTGGGACAGACTGGGATAGAGTGGGACAGACTGGGATTGACTGGGACTGACTGGGAGGGCCTGGGAAGGACTGGGATGAGCTGGGAGGGACTGGGACAGATTGAGATGGACTGGGACTGACTAGGGCACACTGGGACAGACTGGGAGGGACTGGCACTGACTGGGAGCGATTAGGATGGACTGGGAGGGACAAGGATGGACTGGGGCTGACTGGGATTGACTGGGATCAACTGGGACCGACTGGGATTGACTGGCTCAGCCCGGGCCGGGCCGGTCACGCCGGGGTTTTCCGGGATTTTCCGTCTCCGGCCGCAGGCGGGCGGGGGCAGCCGGGGAAGGTGAAACCCAACTCCAGCCCCATCCCAGCGCCAAAAACCTGGGAAAAGCGTTATCCCGGCTCCCCGCGGGGCTCCTGCGGCCCTTAAAGCCGCCTTTGTTTTCCCGGTAATCCCATCCCTGCTCCGGGCCGTGCCCCCGGATCCGCCCGGGACAGCGCGGGTTTTACAGCTCCCGCCGGGAGCGCCGGGGCTGCTTTAGCGATCAGAGCCCCGTCCTCGGCCTGCTTCTCCAGCAATTCCCCGGATCCTGACTCGAATCCTGCTTTTCCAATCAGACTCGGATCCTGATCCTGATTTTCCAGTCGTTCCCTGGATCCCAACAGAAATCCTGCTTTTTCTAGCGTTCCCTGAATCCTGACCCCGACCCCGCTTTTCCAGCCGTTCCCTGAATCTCGGTTCTGCTTTTCCGACCATTCCCTGAATCATGATCCTGACCTCGCTTTTCCAACCATTCCCTGAATCTCAATTCTGCTTTTCCAATCATTCCCTGAATCCTGACCCCACTTTTCCAATCATTCCTGAATCCCGATCCTGCTTTTCCAATCGTTCCCTGAATCCCTATCCTGCTTTTCCAGTCGTTCCCTGAATTCTGACCCCACTTTTCCAGTCACTCCCTAAATCCCAACGCAAATCCCACCTTTCCAGTCATTCCCTGAATCCTGACCCCACTTTTCCAATCATTCCCGAATCCCGATCCTGCTTTTCCAGTCATTCCCAGAATCCCAATCCTGCTTTTCCAATAATTCCCTGAATTCTGACCCCACTTTTCCAGTCACTCCCTGAATCCTGACCCCAATCCCACTTTTCTGATCATTCCTGAATACCTATCCTGCTTTTCCAGTCATTCCCTGAATTCTGACCCCTCTTTTCCAGTCACTCCCTAAATCCCAACGCAAATCCCACTTTTCCAGCCATTCCCTGAATCCTGACCCCAATCCCACTTTTTCCATCACACCTGGATCCTGATCCTGCTTTTCCAATCGTTCCCTGAATCCAGACAGAAATCCTGCTTTTCCAGCCATTCCCTGAATCCTGACACAAATCCTGTGTTCCAGTCGTTCCCTGAATCCTGACCCCACTTTGCCAATCAAACCTGGATCCTGATCCTGATTTTCCAGTCATTCCCTGGATCCTGACACAAATCCTGCTTTTCCAATCAGACCTGGATCCTCATCCTGATTTTCCAGTCTTTCCCTGAATCTCAATTATGCTTTTCCAATTCTTCCCTGAATCCTGACCTCACTTTTCTAATTATTCCCTAAATCCTGACCCCACTCTTCGAGTCATTCTCTGAATCCTGACCCCAATCCCACTTTTCCAATCATTCCCTGAATCCCAAATCCCGACCCCTCCTTTCCAACCATTCCCTGAATCCTGACCCCAATCCCACTTTTTCAATCAAACCTGGATCCTGATCCTGATTTTCCAACCATTACCATTCCCTGGATCCTGACACAAATCCTGCTTTTCCAGTCTGACCTGGATCCTGATCCTGCTTTTCCAATCAGACCTGAATCCCAGCACAAATCCTGTGTTCCAGTCATTCCCTGAATCCTGACCCCTCTTTGCCAATCAAACCTGGATCCTGATCCTGATTTTGCAGCCATTACCATTCCCTGAATCCTGACTCAAATCCTGCTTTTCCAATCACACCTGGATCCTGACACAAATCCTGTGTTCCAGTCATTCCCTGAATCCTGACCCCACTTTTCCAGTCATTCCCTGAATCCTGATCCTACTTTTCCAATCAGACATGAATCCTAACACAAATCCTGCTTTTCCAACCGTTCCCTGCATCCTGACCCTGCTTTTCCAATCATTCCTGAATCCTGATCCTGCTTTTCCAATCGTTCCCTGGATCCTGATCCTACTTTTCCAATCAGACCTGAATCCTGACACAAGTCCTGCTTTTCCAACCACTGAATCCTGACCCCACTCTTCCAGTCATTCCCTGAATCCCGACCACAATCCTGCTTTTCCACTCGTTCCCTAAATCCTCACCCCACTTTTCCAACCATTTCCTGAATCCCAATTCTGCTTTTCCAGTTATTCCCTAAATCCTGACCTCACTTTTCCAATCATTCCCTGAATCCTGACCCCACCTTTCCAATCATTCCCTGAATCCCAAATCCCAACCCCAATTTTCCAGTCATTCCCTGAATCCTGACCCCACTTTTCGAATCGTTCCCTGACCCCAGTCCTGCTTTTCCAACCATTCCCTGACTCCCAAGCCCAATCCCGCTCCGAGGGAGCTCCTGGAAAGGGGAAAATCGCTTTTCCAGGGAAAATCACTTTTCCAGGGAAATTTGAGATCATTCCTGGAGCCCCTCCATCAGCAAGATCAGGCTCTGGGGTTATCCCACAGAAATCTGGGAATTCGGGAATCCTGGGCAGCTGGAGCTGCTCTGGTACAAACTGGGAGGGACTGGGAGTGCTGGGATGAGGCTGATCCCGCTGGGAATTCTCATCCCAGGGATCTCTGCATCCAGAATTTCCGGACAGGGAGAGAGGGGATCCGGAATTCCTTCAGAATTCGGGGGAGCTGAGAGGGAGTTCTGGGCTTTTCCCATGGAATTCTGGAATGGTTTGGGATGGAAGGGATCTCTGGGATGATCCCATTCCCATGGGGCAGCTCCCGTTATCCCGGGATGTTCCAGCCCTGAATTCCTTGGGAATTCCATCCCAAAATCCCAATTTTCCATGGGAAGCCATTCCCTGTTTCCCATCCCAATCCCCTCTGCAGCTCTCCCAGAAAAAACTCCTGGAAAAGGCTCTGGAATTCTCCTCTGCAATTTCCTTTTTCTTCCCAGAATTTGGGGCAGAACGAGGGGATTTTGGGAATTTTGGGCTCCCAGGAATGGGGAGGATTCTCCTCAATCCCAAACCTTGGGAATCCCGGGATGAGAGGGGAAAAATCTGGGATAAGGGGGTGGGAATGTGGGAATGTGGCTGGGGTGGGATTCCCTGGGAATTCCCGCCTGGAAAGGGCAGGAATGCTGGGAATGGGGTGGGAATGGAGGGGATTTCAGGGATGATCCCATTCCCAAAGCACCTCCTCCTATTCCAGCGCTGCTCCAGCTCTGGATTCTCTGGGAATTCCATCCCAAAATCCCACTATTCCATGGGAAGCCATTCCCTGTTTCCCATCCCAATCCCCTCTGCAGCTCTCCCAGAAAAACCCCTGGAAAAGGCTCTGGGATTCTCCTCTGGAATTCCCAGCTCCCCCTGCACATTCCCAGCTCATTCCCAAACTGAGCGGGACAGAATTCCCACTTTTCCCCGGCATTCCACAGCCCCTTTTCCATGGATCCATGCCTGGGCTTGTTCCTGGCTCCTCATCCCGAGGAATTTCCCATTCCCATCCCAATCCCTTCCAGGCTGGGAGCTCCTTTCCTTCCTTGGCACAAAAAGTCCCGGGAATTTCTTGTTGGGATTTCACAGAGCTGCTTTTTCCCGGTTTTCCAGGCCAAAGGGGCTCCTGGGAAGAGGAAAGCCTTGGAAGACGATTCCCCCTTGGAAGGGAAGCAGGATTTGGTTGTCCACGACGAGTACGAGGAGGACAGCTCGGATGAGGAGGTAGGACCCCAAAAATTCATGGAATTTGTGGAATTTTATCCTGGATCTGAGATGGAAGCGATGGATTTGGTGTGATGGGAGTGATGGATTCGGTGTCTGGGGAAAAATGATGGATTTGGGAAAAGTCTGGAGCAGCTGTTGGGGCCCATCCTGGACTGGGATCCCCATTCCCAGCTGGAATTCCAGGTTGGGATCCCCATTCCCAGCTGGAATTCTGGGTTGGGATCCCCATTCCCGGCTGGAATTCTGGGCTGGGATCCCCCATTCCCAGGATTTCCCATCCCTGTGGATGTTGTGCCTGGCTTGAATTGCCATTCCTGCCTGGAATTCCAGGCTGGGATCCCCATTCCCAGCTGGAATTCCCATCCCTGTGGATGTGGGATGGGGACATGGCCAGGTTGGAATCGCCATTCCCAGCTGGATTTCCGGGCTGGGATCCCCATTCCCAGCTGGAATTCCCATCCCTGTGGATGTGGGATGGGGACATGGCCGGGTTGGAATCGCCATTCCCAGCTGGATTTCAGGGCTGGGATCTCCATTCCCAGCTGGAATTCCGGGCTGGGATCCCCATTCCCGGCTGGAATTCCCATCCCTGTGGATGTGGGATGGGGACAGAGCCAGGCTCAGCCTTTTCCAATCTCTGCAATTCCCTGATTTCCGTCTCCGTGTCGGCTCTTGGAAGGGAGGGAATTCCGGGAACGCTGCGAATTCCATGTGGGATCACTCCCGACGCTCCTGCTCCGGAATTCCAGAGCTCCCTGAGCTTTCCCAGGGTTCCCAGCCTCGGAGAAACCTCGGGAAGAGCTCTGGAATGTCCGCAGGGCTGGGCCCTTCCCCGATCCCTGCTCAATCCATTACCGGCCCTGGCAATTCCCGGCGCTCCGGGGGCGGGATGAGCGAGCCCGGAATTCTCCTGGAAAAGGCCCCGGGAGCCGCAGCCCCGAGCGGGACAGAGCCTCGGAGAGGGGGAGAAATCCGGAGTTACGGCTGGAAAAACGGCCTGGGAAGGGCTGGGATACACCGGGAATGGGATGATGGGGTCGGGAATGGGATAATGAGATCGGGAATGGCATTGGGAATGGGATCGGGAATGGCATTGGGAATGGGAATGGGATCAGGAATGGGATGGGAATGCGATCAGGAATTGGATCAGGAATGGGATTGTGGATGGGATTGGGAATAAGATTGGGAATGGGATCAGGAATGGGATCAGGATCAGGAATGGGATTGGGAATTGGATCAGGAATCGGATCAGAAATGGGATCGGGAATGGGATTGGGGATGGGATCAGGAATGGGATAATGGGAATTGAATCGGGAATGGGATCGGAAATGGGATCAGGATCAGGATTTGGATCAGGAATGGGATCAGGAATGGGATCAGGAATTGGAGCGGAAATGGGATCAGGAATGGGGTCGGGAATAAGATCAGGAATGGGATCAGGAATTGGATCAGGAATGGAATTGGGGATAGGATTGGGAATGGGATCAGGAATTGGATTAGGAATGAGGTCAGGAATTGGATTAGGAATGGGATCAGGAATGGGATTGGGAATGGGATTGGGGATGGGATAATGGGAATGGGATCGGGAATGGGATTGGAAATAGAATTGGGAATGGGATCAGGAATGGGATCAGGACGGCACCGCCGAATTCCAGAGGGATCCCAAAACCCCCCAGGGAGATCCTGGAGATTTTTCCAGCGGCTTCTCCTGAGCCAAGGCCGCCCCCGGAGCCGGAGCCGGGTTCATCGGGATTTCCCTGGAATAACAATTCTGGGAATGTGAGGAAAAGCTCGGGAACGCATCCCCGGAGCTGCCAGAGGGGGGAGCGCTGATCCCGGCCCTGAGCTGTTCCAGAGCCTTTGTTCCCAAAAAAAACCTGGAAAAATTCGGGAAAACTCCGGGATTCAGGTTTGGTGCTCCTTATCCCGGAATTTCAGGAATGGCTCCGTCGTGTCCCAATCCTAATTAATTCCTGACCCCGTCCTAAGGGAAGTTTTCCATGGATTTCACCTTGCGAACACCAGGATTAACCCAGGGAGGGAATTTTGGGAGATGTGCTTGGATAAAGTTTTTTTTATTCAGGAAAATCAGATAAATTAGGCAGGAAAATGTGAGCGGTTTTTCCTGGATTTCAGTAAAATTGTGCAAATTTTGGGACATCAGAATCCTCAGAATCCTTTGGAGCTGAGGGAGCGGCCTCAGGCAGTGCCTTGGAGGGGAAATTTTTGGGAATATTCCCCCTGGAAAAGGCTGTCCAGGGCTGGAATTGCCATTCCCAGTGGGATAAATCCTTGGGATTGTGGCTTTTGGGATTTTTGGGAATATTCCCCCTGGAAAGGGCTGGAATTGCCATTCCCAGTGGGATAAATCCTTGGGATTGTGGCTTTTGGGATTTTTGGGAATATTCCCCCTGGAAAGGGCTGGAAATTCCCATTCCCGTGGATGTGGGATCATGGAATTTTGCTGGAATTTTGGTGGAGGAGGCTCTGCCATCCCTGGGGGTGTCCTGGTGTCATTCCCTGTTTTCCATGGCAGAAATTCCACCCAGGATCACCTTGGGATGCTCCCAAATTCCCCCAGGCTTGGCTTTCCCCTGAATTTGTGGGATTTTGGGAAGGAATTCCTGCTTGGGCTGGAATTCCCAGAGAATTTGGGGCTGCTCCATGGCTGGAGCATCCCAGGAGAGCAGGAGCTGCCCCATGGGAATGGGATCATCCCTAAAATCCTTTCCACCCCAAAACCCCTTCCATAAATCCTTGGTTTTAGGATTCCATGCTTTCAGGATTCCATGGTTTTGGGATTCCATGGTTTATAGGATTCCATGGTTTTGGGATTTCATGGTTTTGGGATTCCATGGTTTATAGGATTCCATGGTTTATAGGATTCCATGGTTTGGGATTCCATGGTTTTGGGATTCCATGGTTTATAGGATTCCATGGTTTTGGGATTCCATGGTTTTGGGATTCCATGGTTTATAGGATTCCATGGTTTATAGGATTCCATGGTTTCAGGATTCCATGGTTTTGGGATTCCATGGTTTTGGGATTCCGTGGTTTTGGGATTCCATGGTTTATAGGATTCCATGGTTTTGGGATTTCATGGTTTTGGGATTCCATGGTTTATAGGATTCCGTGGTTTTGGGATTCCATGGTTTGGGATTCCATTGTTTATAGGATTCCGTGGTTTTGGGATTCCATGGTTTGGGATTCCATGGTTTATAGGATTCCATGGTTTATAGGATTCCATGGTTTGGGATTCCATGGTTTATAGGATTCCATGGTTTATAGGACTCCATGGTTTGGGATTCCATGGTTTTGGGATTCCATGGTTTATAGGATTCATGGTTTATAGGATTCCATGGTTTGGGATTCCATGGTTTATAGGATTCCATGGTTTCAGGATTCCATGGTTTTGGGATTCCATGGTTTTAGGATTCCA